AACTCGCACACCTTATTCACCATAGAATTAATAAATTAATTCCAATTTTCATAATCCAGGAATTTAAATGCTCCCACTTCAGATTCGAGTTTCAAGAATCAAATTGCTCTGATACCAATTATAACGCCCCGTACCCTAATGGCCAAAGCACCCTCATATTTCCATGTGGAATGTTCATTTTACATCATCATTAAGTGCAACACAATATAATCCTTCTCATTCGAAGATATAATCATCCATATATCTTATAAAAGTTATCCACTTCTATGTACACTATATTCTCATGTAAGTCATGGTCCTCATAGTTCATCACAATAAAAGAAAAAGAAAAATATATCCTACATGTATAGGTGTGGTGGGTAAGTGTCATATCTGATACTACTTCCGTTGACACTCTTTGTGTCCTCTAGGTGGTGTGGTTCGTTATTGAAGGTTCCTAAAATTGTTCCTACTTCACTGTATCTGTAAATAAACAGTAATAAGCCTACACATGCCCAGTAAGTCAAATTTATAATTTGAAACAACGTATTGAAATTAGTGCAATTCCTAGGCCAGATTCTCCCTTAACACCCGCACTCCTAATCCAACCATTTTTTTTCCGTCATACGTCCAGGAAATTTACAGAATTCTCTCTCAGCCCTCTCCACCACAAACAATCCATAGTTTTTCCACTGGTATACCTTCTGGTTTTCACAGAATTCTTTCCAACACACTCCTGTGTAATTATATCCTTGAGTTCCCCTTTGATTTAATTACAGAACCTCTTAGTTTTCCCCCTACACTCCCTGCTTAAGTTAACCCATGAATTTCTCCTCTAACCTGTTTACAGAACTTCCCAGTTTTCTCCCATTACTCTTCTATCCTGCTTAAATCAGTCCATGACCCTTCCCTTATCATGTTGCCAGAACTCGACCTCTCACATCTCTTACTTAGTTTCCCACATATATACCTCAGTACTTTCTATCCTTCGCTTTTAGCAAAGGATTCTCTTAACACTGCAAGCTATAATTATCAGATCCCTCGGTAATATCCCTTCTCACATTACAGTCTCATCCCTCTCTGGTTTAATTTTTTTTTTTTTTCTCGTCGTTCTCAACTCTATTTTCATCCTCTTCTTCACCATAATACCCAACTAATCATTTTCTCCCACCTGAAAACCCATACAGAATTATTTCATAATCTGCATGTGAATTTGTCAGACAGATTAACAGTTTAGATCATTATTTCATAAATATTTCACAATCAGAATGCATATACAAGATAGACAACCCTTATAGGGCCACTCACACCATCCCATTCAAAGCACACAACACGTGGACAGAAATATCCAAACCAGAAAATAAATAACAACAAATGAATACTCAATCACCCAGCACGTTCTGGCCATCGGTTGGCCACTCCACCCAATGGACCACTTAACTTATTAGCGACAACAGGAGCTTCCCCTAGATCAAAATAAACGACCCTCATAGGGCCATTCACACCATCCCCTTCAAGCACACAGCATGCCAAAAGGAATATCTAGACCAGAAACTAAATAACAGCAAATGAATACTCAATTACCATGCATGTTCCGGCCATTAGTTGGCCACTCACACACCCTGGACCACTCAACTTATCAATGCTCAACTTATCAGTGATAGCAAGAGCTTCCCCTAGATCAGAACCCTTAATTCCACTCTTCGATTTTCTATGTGCACAACCTGGGGTCTCTCCCTATCCAGCTTTACCCACTTGCTATCCATGTACTACTCATCTCATTCTTCTCTTTTCAGTTACAGTGTGTTCATCCTTCCTCTACTAACACCATTTTCCTTAACTCACTCCCTCTACCGTGTCCGTCAGCTTTATTATCTCTTCCTTTGGTCATTCGCCTAAGCCAAGATTCTACTCTACTCTCTATCTCTGATTTCATCCCGTCTATTTCTGTCCGCATTCTTCTTTTTCAGACCCCTATTGTTCACTCACTTCTCCTTAATTTATTTATTCTAACATCTTCCTTATACTATCCATAACAGGTCTAACACACTAATACAATTTCAATTAACCCCTCTCCGATTCACTTCTTTAAACATAACAGATTCACCTCCCAATTCTACATATACCATCTATACAACATTCTCTAAATCTATTTCAGAACGAAAGATCGACTGTCATACTACCGTCCCTTTTTGTCCTCTTATCTCCCAATTTTTAATCATCACCAATCGTTATCTGAAACAAGAAATTAAAGCACAAATTTTAAATTTAGTGTTTAAAACTCAAATTCGTCTTACACTTGCTTCCAAATTGGTATCTGTTGAAGCGGTGGTCCTTATTTGAATCCTTCCTATCTCAACGAATTTTTGACGAGAAATTCCTCCCTCTAATCGCCTCTAATCCCCTCGTCTGCGTTCTATTTGGTTGATTGTTCAGCTCTCAGTCTCCCCCCTTTCCGCCACTCCTTTTCCCTCTCTCGGGTTTTTCTTCAGCCGGTGCCCTCTCCCTAATTTAGTGGGGTGATTATGGATTTAGGGGTTAATTTTTGGATTTTGAAATTTTCTTTCATTCAAGTCCCTTAACCCTTTTAAATTTGCAGAAGGCCTTTGAATTATTTATAAACTCTTATAAAACACCCCCAAAATTTAAACGTCAAATTATACGGATGTTACATTAATTATATCTAATTTATATTATTTAATTTAATAAGATTTAAAACTTAATTTATTATTTTATTATTAAAATTACAATATTCAAATCAAATTTTATTTTAATAAATCATATCGCATCCGATGAAAGGGAATACCCATACAAATAAATTTTAATTAAAAATTTAAATATATATTTAAAAAAAAAAAGAGAAAAAGATACATAATTTAACTATTTAGTTATTATATAAAGACATATAGTATTATAAGTATCACTAAGTGGATATTGAAAACGTTTCAAAAAAATATAATTAAAAATTAAACCTTTTACTTTATTCAATAAAATATTTAATATTTTTGATAACATTCAATTAAAAATCTTTTTAATGATATGAGGGCTACTGATATTTTATTGTTACATGCATATTTTGTATTAGAGCAACATAATTTTTTCTATGCTTTTGACTAAAAATAAATTATTTAACTT